CCCCGCCAGGCTACGAGGTGGCTAGATGGCAGGACAGCAAGTGGATCCGTGAACCTGTGTTTGTGAACAATGTCTCATTGTTCTCCCACGTATATATAGGGTTTCTCCTTACAGGTACAGTAATTTACTCCCACTCACAAAACACTCCGAAATATAATTGATCAAACATTCCGAGGCAGGACACTCTTGTGAGTAAATATTGAATCTCACCGAGGATTTTGAGGCTGTCCTGAATAAATAAAATGGCTTTATCATTATTATTGCATCCACAGGTAATATGGGAGCACAGTTTAGGTGTTTTGCCGTTGTGCTGTGTGTGGCTCCCCAGTTGGGTTTTGGGTTGTACCGTGCACGCGTTGTTGAGGCCTTACGCTCAAATCAACTTCCTGCAGAGGCTCCCGGCACGCGGAGCGGAACGTCGAACATCGTGCCAAACAACACGCGGCGGCACAACTCGCAAAGCACGTCGGAGAGAATCCTGCGGTAGCTTTACATTTCGAGGTTCACACACGACCAGGTTGCGCTGTGAACAGGCATCCAGCCGCGTGGCCCAGAAAAGAGTGATTTTGCCCATGGGCTCTGGGTTCACGAGTTCAAGCACAACCTTATTCCCCTGGATAATGCACAGCGGGGACACGAACAAATGTGGTGCCAATTGGTCAATTACGTGAATGTCAAAACAGGCCCCCTGTTTTATTCGCCGGCCAAAGGCCGAAATGTGCCCGCATCGTGGTCAAATATGGAGGATTACCTGTAATTATTAAATCACCACGTATCGTGCTCATTGCTTGCCGGGGGTACATGCTCGAGTACAGAAAAAGATAAAGGTGCAGCCCTGCAATCGCTTGCTCACGCCACTGGTGGGGGAAGGGCCTTTACGAGGAGGCGCTCTGGACAGGCCATCTCGAAATGTTTTAACTACTCTTCCACCGTGGCCAGACATAATTATTTTTAATGATTTTCTTTCCAGTCCTATAGCTCCATAGGTCATCGGATTTCTCCAGGATGAATACAGATTCTGGAATAAGTGAGAGCGGCAAGGTTGCCAGCAAATATAATGCAAAGTTGTAGTACAGCAGATAATGGCTAACATGCTCGTTGAATTTCGATTTAAAGCTTTCGTGACTGCAGGGATTCATCTACTTGGTTCTTTCGGTAAAGTCACGTAGAAGGGAAGTAAAAATAAAACATAATAAAATAATATATTATTATATTATTTTATTGTGTTTTATTTTTACTATTTTATTACTTCCCTTCTACGTGACTTTACCGAAAGAACCAAGAAGATGCTCGTTGAGTTGTACCGATGGGAGTGGGTTCAATAGGAGCCCCCCCCCCCCAAACACACTCGATCCCATATTATAATGGAGTATTTTTATTTTTATTTACACTGACCTAATGTTTGGCTGACTTTCAATCTCTCATCTTTGTGTACCCATTACACAGTCAGGACATTTCAGAGGTGACTAATGCGCACCGTCTTGAAGGGTGATGAACGTGTATTGAAAACAATGTATTGCATTGTCCCCGTAATGGAAAATATGTGAGCCTATGCTTCTATTCATCTCCTGCTTTCAACACTTCATAACACATGCATTTTATATACGTTGAATATAAAGTACACATACATACACAATGCATATATAGCCTCAAGATTTATGTATGTATGTATGTTGAACTTCTTTGCACTGTACGTGACCAACCATGCTAATCCGAGGTACGGGGCAAGGACACTAAACTAAACACAAACATCAGTTATAAAAAAATGAATTTTCAATCTCGATGATTTAAAAGCGCATAGCTACAATGGTTTCCTAATATCGGACGGAAGAGCGTTCCAGACGGCCGCAGAAGCGCATCTGAGATCGCGCGATGCGGTGACCGTCTTTGTTCGATGGCGAGCCCAAAGCCGCTGGTGCAAGAATAACCGGAGTTTGCGTGACGATGGTTTATGCTCCTTGGCGAGATCAACGATACCGTATATATACTATAAATATTGTATATAAATTCCAAACTCCAAATACATTTTGTAAAAGAGACATTTTAGGGCTCTGTGTCAATCCACTGTAGGATGAAAGCCTCTGCACACTGCAGAGGTCATAGAGGTTGTTAGATCATACTTCTCCTTGCTGGACATTGCGGCTTGGTGAAGCCGGGGTGAGGGAGGGAGGGAGGGGGATCAGGATGAGTTCAGATGTCACACGCCACTGATGTTAGCCGCATGTGGAAATTCAACTCAGATATGCCGAGTTTATAGTGCAATGCGCTAATCACTGCGCCACCGCTCAAACCCGACGTGCGTGCGGCTATTGAACATTGCCACACTCCTGACTGGTGTCCGTCCGTCGTGCCGGGAGGGGCTGGGTGGGGAGGGAGGGGCTGGGTGGGGAGGGGAGGGTGGGGAGGGGCTGGGTAGGGAGGGTGGGGCTGGGTGGGGAGGGGAGGGGCTGGGTGGGGGGTGGGAGGGGTGGGGCTGGGTGGGGTGGGGCTGGTCACCCCGTGGTGCCCTTATAACACTCAACGTTTAACCTACTCACGCCGGCTTGTGCCCGCCCTCACAGTCGGGCATATTTGCGGAATACACCACGCCGCCGTTGACCCTGGCCATTGACCGAGCAACCCAACGTTCCTACCAACTCCCTCCGCAGGAATGTGTTTGTGAATATGATAATAGTAAGCTAGATTAAAGGCATATTTCGTGTTTTGTGCAGTATGTCTTTCATCGCGCATCAACATTGACGAGCTATTACAGTAGAGCACAGCATGAATTCAAATCGCGTGCAGCCGATCACATAAAACACCTCCATTAGTTATCTCGGCATATAATTTCGAGCGAAAACGCGAATTATCATCGTTAATTACTTTAATACGTAAACGTGTCATGTAACTCGATGCATCCAGTCTTACAATCAACGCACAATGGAGGATCGGTTAGCCCAGTGATTAGCACGCGGCCCTTTGAACCCGGCGACTCGAGTATTCAGGTGGGGGGCCTCACTCGCCTTCACCAACTCTCACTGACCAGGCGTGGTGAAGTATGGTCAAACAATCTCCACTGCTGACATGGTGACCTTCATCCGGCAGTGGATTGACAAAGAGCTCAAATGTATTGCGGTGCAGTGAATGTGAATGATCAGAGAATGCGAAACAGCTACCAGCCGTGTTTACGAGTCGTCCAATTTAAGTGACGTCTGGCCAGCATGGAAGAGTAGGCCAAATGACCCACTTACAGGTGCTCTCTATACCTCCCCGAGTAGAGATTCTTCTGCCGGCAGTGGCATGAGTAGGAAATTGCAGGGCTGAACCTTAACAGTTCAGATATTGCAGTTTTTCTATGGAGTTACATCGAAAAACATGACCATTTAAAAAAATCACTGTCCCTTGTCTGTGATTTGAAGCAAGCTCAAGCAAAGCTGAAAACACAGCATTGTCCGATTATTGTCACCATCGCCACTGCGTGCGTAACAATCACAACAATTCCGCAGGGAACCTGTGCTGTATCATCCCACAGCGAGCAGAACGAGGCAACCTGCAGCAACTGCTGGGAGAACACAGCTGCCATTGATGGTGCGTTCATTTATCCCTGGTTATTTCCATCATCCTAACCATGCGCCTGCAATTTAATTCGTTAACATCTAAATACACTCACCTATCAACGTGTTAATTGATCATGCGCATCCACCTATTAGTCCATTCTTTGCGCGTTATCCATTCGTTTATTTGAGCATATTGACTTGAAAAATTACAACTGCGTTACACACCACGTACATTTAGTATAAAAAGATTAAGATCCCCCATATAGCCTTAACAGGCTGTAGGGGCAAGTGCTGTTAGCGAGCACCTATGAAGGCCGGAACGGTACACGACGGGGTGGGTGTCCAACTCCACGCCCGACCGCCTTTGTCTCCCAGTGGCGATTATTACTCACCGCACCAGGTACTCATTTCAGGCTGAGTCGACCTAGGGGAGGCCCAGGACCGGTTCAGATAATCGTCACTGGTGTTGGCCGTGAGCGGGAATCGAACCCGGCTCGCAGGTTCATAGCGCAGCGCGCTAACCGCTACACCACCGCTCCCCATTATTTAGTATCGCACATATACACACGTACAGCAACGGAATCGCGGTGCATACACTCCGACATCAGTGAGCTCTGCCTTAACGCACCGCTGCACCGACCCCGCATTGACCAGCGCGGTGAAGTATGCCCAAACCAACCCGCACGATGCACTGTACGGACAGCATCATTCGGAACGTGATCAGCCAGCAGTGGATTGACGCTCAGCTATCTGTACAGTGCATCAATGCACACGATGAACTGCACTTTGAATGAGCGTTGTCATTCGATCATGCGCATCTTTTGATCTCAATAATAGCATACCGTACCTTCACAAAGCTGCACAATGAAGCACACAAAAACAACAATTCAAATATCTGCACACGCCATTCGGTATCCACACGCAGTCTTGCATTTGTATCCTATATTACCATGCACAGATTAGTGAAAATCACTCCGTGAACGTTATCTGATTATTCATTCACCACCACCACCACCATCCTTTCGTTCACACACACAGACACAGACAATCGCCCGCTCGCTCGTTCACCCACCACCCGGTTTCGTTCAAAACACGCATTGCTCATTTTCATCCGCACGTTCCGTCGACGCAAAACTCTTCGCTCATTCGCGATCTCATTCGTGATCTCATTCGCCAGCCATTGGCGTTTCGCCGCACGCATTCATTCGCGCGTTCGTTCGTTCGTTCGAGCGAGCGAACGACGGCTTCTCCGCCACATCGCCACGGCACCGCGCAAGACCCAATCCGTTCGCTTCACGCTCAACGCACACAACGTCGGCGCGCACGAACAATCACGGCCACCGGCGCAACGCTCGCGTTCACCGTGCGTCTGCGCGCGTGAGAGCGAGCTCGGAGAGAGAGAGATGATAGAGGTTAGAGACGAGTGTGTGCACGAGCACATGGATGTAGAAGAATCCGGGTTACCTTGATGCTGGGGGGGGAGGGCCAGGGAATGATTCGCAGCGAGGACGTGGAGCGGATTTGACGCGCGCGAGCCTCAGTGCCGAGTCTGCATCCTCGAGTCCCGTGCACGCGTCTCGCGCTCTCGGCGGTGACGTCAGCGCTCACCGCGGTGGGGGGGGGGGGGCTGGTGGTGGGGGCGCATCGCGTGCACGAACACACACGCGCACCACTCACACACGCACTCCACACACACAACACATGCACACACACCACACACATACACACCACACACACCACTCACACACACACCACTCACACATCACATGCACACACACACCACATGCACACACCACACACATGCACACACACACCACATGCACACCACTCCCACACACTACATGCACACACACCACACACACACCACTCACACACATACACACACACACACCACATGCACACACACCACACACCACACACACACACCACTCACACACACACCACACACACGCACCACTCACACACGCACCACTCCCACACACCACATGCACACACACCACACACACACCACCCACACACACACACCACACACACGCACCACTCACACACACACACCACATGCACACACACCACTCACACACACCACTCAACACCACACACACCACTCACACATAAACACACACCACATGCACACACACCACTCACACACACCACACGCACCACTCACACACACCACTCACACACACCACTCACACACACCACACACACACCACTCACACACACACACCACTCACACACACCACAACACTCACCACTCACACACCACACATACCACATGCACATACACACCACTCACAAAAAACACCACTCACACACACGCCACATGCACATACGCACACCACTCACACACACACCACACACACACCACACACACACGCACACCACTCACACACCACACACACACCACTCACACGCAAACACACCACATACACATCACACACACACCACTCATACACACGCATATACACTACATGCACATACACGCCACTCACACACCCACCACTCACACACACCACTCACACACACACCACTCACACACACACCACTCACACACACCACTCACACACCACACACACCACTCACACACTACACACACACACACCACTCACACACACACCACTCACACACACACCACTCACACACACCACACACCACTCACACACACACCACTCACACACACACCACTCACACACACACCACTCACGCACACACCACATGCACATACACACACACGCACACCACTCACACACACACCACTCACACACCACTCACACACACACCACTCACACACCACACACACACCACTCACACGCACACACACCACATGCACATACACATCACTCACACACACACCACTCACACACACGCACATACACTACATGCACATACACGCCACTCACACACCCACCACTCACACACCACTCACACACACACCACTCACACACACACCACTCACACACACACACCACTCACACACCACACACACACCACTCACACACCACACACACACACACCACTCACACACACACCACTCACACATACACCACTCACTACACACTACTCACACACCATATGCACGTACACACTACTCACACACCACACACACACACACCACTCACACACACACCACTCACACACACACGCACACACACCACATGCACATACACACCACTCACACACACCACACACACACACCACTCACACACACACCGCACACACACCGCACACACACCACACACATGCACCACTCACACGCAGCACTCACACACCACACACACACCACTCACACATACCCACTCACACACACACCACACACACCCCACTCATACACACCACTCACACACACCACTTACACACACACCATTCACACGCACCACTCACATACGCGCGTGTGCGTGTAAGCTCGAAGTGGGGAGCGGTGGTGTAGCGGTTAGCGCTACGCTGCACTACAAACCGGGCAACCCGGGTTCGATTCCCGCTCACGGCCAACACCGGTGACTATCATCTGAACCGGTTTCTTGGCCTCCCCTAGGTCGACTCAGCCTCAAATGAGTACTTGCTATGGTGCGAAAAACATCGCCACTAGGGTGACAAAGACGTCTGGGCGTGGTGCTGGCCACCCACCCCCTCGTGTGCCGTTTTGGCCTTTATTAGTGCTCACTAACAGCACTTGCCCCTACAGTCTGTTAAGGCTATACGGGGAATCTTTGTCTTTTGTAAGCTCGAACTGATCGTCTGATACAAGCGCGGACATTCAACCATACGCCCATACATACGTACAAACAGAGCAACACAATCGTCAATAACGTCTGCCTTAAAATAAAATATAACCACACATGTGCCATTAAGAAGGGTCATTGCCGGAAACGTCGCCTATTACGTGTTTTTTTTACATGTGCAGGCAGTGTTATTGACGAATGCGTTGGCTTCATTTGTGTCCATTGTTCCTGTATACCACTGCCAATGCAGCATCACCAAATCATCCATTCACTCACACGCGTGTGTGATATTCACTCACACGCACGTGTGATATTCACTCACACACGTGTGACATTCACTCACACGCGTGTGATATTCACTCACACGCGTGTGATATTCACTCACACGCGTGTGATATTCACTCACACACGTGTGACATTCACTCGCACGCGTGTGATATTCACTCACACGCGTGTGATATTCACTTACACACGTGTGACATTCACTCACACGCGTGTGATATTCACTCACACGCGTGTGATATTCACTTACACACGTGTGACATTCACTTACACACGTGTGATATTCACTTACACACGTGTGACATTCACTCACACGCGTGTGACATTCACTCACACGCGTGTGACATTCACTCACACACGTGTGATATTCACTCACACGCGTGTGATGTTCACTTACACACGTGTGCGAGTGAATATACCAGCGTTCACTGTCACAGTGGGCAGTGCTAAGCAGAGTGGTTAGGGCACCGTCCGACGAACCCGGAGACACAAATTCGAGCGGTGCTCACGGCCAACAACAGTGACGCATATCTAAAATGGCCATGGGCCTCCTCTAGGTCGACTCAGCCCTAATTGAGTACGTGGCACGGCATGTAAACATGAGCATTGTGGGGAGACAAAGGCGGCCACCAACACTCTCGTGCACTGCGCGGCCTTAGCAGCATAGCAGTCTGTTAATGTCCACACGGGGGATCGTTGTCACTGACACAGTCACGCCCATACAGGAATTCACTCAATCACACTGGCATTCACACACACACACGCGTAACATTGCTCACACAAATGCGCGTGTGAGAAATGAGATTTCTGTCATTTGAAGCGGAGACCTGAGATTGCCAACTCCGTCACCCCGCAAGTTGGACTCTTCACCGTGACTCAATCTCATCCAGACAGGTCTCTAAATGTTAAATATTTGACAATTCTCCAAAGCTCCGTTAAGGAAACATTAACCTTGTGTGTGCGTGCAAATTCAAAAAGTTATTGTTCCACACGAATTATTAAACGTTGGTTTTACGGGTGCCAATGAGTGCAAGCCTTTCAAGGGGCATCTAAACGCTCGAAAATAAAAACTTGATTTAGTGTTTGCATTCGTGTCCACGTGGTCGAACATTACAATTGCTCACAGCTGTAGTAACATTGCGATGACTGCTCTCTGTCTTTGAAGTGACACGGATGATACGCACGTGTGTGAATGCACCGTAACGCAATGCTGTACATCACAAGGACAAAGAGCTCCCTCCCATCGGGGCAAGTGCTGGCGATATGTTTACGCACCGGGTACATATTTAAGGATCAGTTGACGTAAGGGGGTGTGGGGGGAGGCAAAACAGACGTGGGTACCACTCCCGACTACCGCAAACCGTGGCTGGGAATTGAACTCGGGACACCTATTTCATCATAGCCCGTTGCATTAACCGCTTGTGCCACTGCTACCGACACAGCGGACACACGCACGGATACAATTGTCGCTTCCATTCGTTGGAAAATCAATGATTGAAAAGGCTCCAACAAGCCCCGACCCTTTTAAGGCCACACAGTGTCATTGACGAACGTGTGGAGTATTTTGTTGTTGTTGTTGCAATTTGTGCTTGTGCGTCACTTCCAACGCAGCAGCAGCAGCAGCGGCGGCGGCACCGTCACATAGTGTTTAATGATTCAGTATAACCACCACCACCGCCATCAGTGCACGATTGATCCACTGATGAATGAATGCCTCCCCGAGGTGACTCGATTTCTCGTAGGGCCTGAGATGCGACGATCCGCCCTGCACTTGCACGCGATGCGATCCCATCGCTCCGTCTCCGCAGCAGACAATACGCGTTTTCCCTCTTTCCTTGGTTGCCCAGTCAGAGGTCATTCTCGCCCATCGGCCATGCACGTACGTGATACTTCTTTCGCACCGTGTGCGTAGCCAACCGTAGTAATCGGAGGCGCGGCCACCATCCCTTCTCGTGACGCGTGCTGCGCGAGCACACGTGAAGCTCCTGGTCTTTAGAGTCAAAATTATGAGCGCAATAATGAACAGGATGAACTCGTAGAAACAGAAAATCTGTGACGGCGCATGTGTTAGCGTACTCACTGGGCTCGTAGCGCAGCACGCTAACCGCTGCGCCACCGCTCCCCATGAGATAATGCATAGACCTCTGTAAACCCGCAATCACGCTCCGTGAAATGTAAAATGTTATAAACAAATTAAAATGAGGCCGCATCGAAAATCGTATTACAAATCGATAAACTATTTCTCCGGTTTCCTGCAAAACATCAATTAAATTGCACACATTGAAATTTTCTGTGCGTATATGCCGTATCTACAGCGAGATATTGACACATCGCCATGTAGGTTTTCCAAGTTTTCAACTGGAATGCAGTGTGCAAGTGGTTTTATTAAGTATCGCAATTGATTCAATACAACGATTCCCTTTTGTTTCATGTCAGAGACACATTACCAAAAAAAGACATTGCTGCCCACGTTTTCATCGAAGGCAAACAGCGTTATTGTATTGTCGGCAAGACACGACTAAGACACGAGTAAGACACGTGTAAGACACGAGTTCCCTGCTAATGCCAAAATCTGCCGGTAGCAGCGTCA